CGGCAGGTGGCAGCGTCGCCCAAGGCGGGCGCCGAAGCCGGCAGGCGCGAGGGCTGGGACCGGGTCCCTCCACCGGCAGCTGGCTGGGGGGCGGTGGGAGGGCGCCCGGCTGGGTGATCGCCGGGGAGACGCAGACCCCACGGCCAGACAGACGGGCGGAGGCCGGCGGAGGGGGAGAGATGCGGCCAGGACGCGGGGAGCGGGCATGGGGTGAAGGGGGCGGCTGCTCTAGGACTGGGGAGAGGGAGGTGGAGGACCTTAGGGGCTCCTGCCTCATGGCAAGTCTGGCGTAGTCACTGGAAATACTCCCAGCTTAGTAGGAAAGGACAGCGTCTTCCTGGGGTTTGGGGGTGTTGTTTTCCTCCTACCCCTCTCCCAGGTGACTACCCTGGGATGGGTGGGCAGAGCCCAGGTGGTCCATGCGTGGCCTCAGAGCCGCCTCAGCCTGGTGGTGGCTGGAGGGGTAGGGAAGGGGAGCCATTAGCAATCCCTGGGGCCCAGCCACCCATAATATACTCCCTTTTTTGGGGGCTGCTCCTTTCTCCACTGGCGTTCCTTCCTGGACACCATTAACAGCCCACTGCCTGGGCCGCAGCCAGGCATACATGGTGCTGCCAGCGAGTGTGCAGTCCTGCAGTCCTGCGGTCCTTCGGGGTGAGGACCCAAAGTGGGGTTCAAGGTGAGGGTCAGAGAAAGGACAAAAGCCTCTACCCCCCTTTCAGTAGCCCACGCCCTCTGCCCACCCTTCTAGCTGTCCCAAGCCTGGGCCCAGCTCAGACCTGCCCCACTCCAGAAATGCTCTCTGGCATGAAAAGCTTCCCCTCCTTTTGGCCACTAGCTCATTTCCTCAAGTCTGGCAGCCAGCTCCGCTGTGCTTCTGGGGAGTCAGAAAAAGCCTCCTGTCCTCCCGTCATGCTGCCTCGGTCCCAGAGATGGGGTTCAGAGCCCCAAAAGGTCAGAAGATTTGTTTTGCTTCAGTACCCGGGACCCCATGTGGCACCCGTCCCTGGGGGCCTCAGATGCTTGGAGAACGGGGAGACCACCATCTTCACTGAGCAGCCCCCTGTAGCCGTCCTGCCCGCAGTGGCTGGGGACAAGGCTGCCAGGATGTTACCAGCCTGGGCACATGGGCCCTGGCCCGAGCGCAGCCAGGCTGGGGCCACAGAGCAGGCTCCCAAGGCCCTTCATGCTGGCCAGTTGCTTCTGCTTGGCCAGAGCTCAGGTTCCCTTTCGTGGGGATGAAGTGAGGGCACATGAGGGCAAGGGCTGCTGGAAGAGGTGCTCTGCCTGCTGGGGCGCTGGCAGAAAGCCTGGCAGCCAGCCTGGGGGCTCATCTGGTGCAGCTTGTGCATAGCAGCAGGCCGGCCATGGTGGCCACCAGTGATGAAACTGCCCCTGCCCCTGGGGTGAGCACAGCAGGGCTCCGCCTACACCCAGCACGCCCAGCCCACCTCCCCTCCTCAGACTGGGACTTCCCTCCAGAGGTGGGTGCCACTGGGCCGGTCTAGGGCCAGCTGGGCATGAGGGCA